GCGACAAGGGTGCAAATGAATGCAGGAACAATCGCTCGCCGATCTAATCGATCGGCAGGCACGATCAATCGATCGCCGATCTAATCGATCGGCAGGCGCGATCAATCGATCGCCGATCTAATCGATCGGCAGGCATTAGCAATCGATCGCCGATCTAATCGATCGGCAGGCATTAGCAATCGATCGCCGATCTAATCGATCGGCAGGCGCGATCAATCGATCGCCGATCTAATCGATCGGCAGGCATCAGTAATCGATCACCAAGCAATCGATGACACTCCTTGCACACTCCTCACACTCTCATTGCACAGTCCTTGCACACTCATTGCACACCCATTGCACACTCATTGTGCATTCCTTCGTTCCATTGGTCGTGCTCATGGATCAGCAGGCATGCGCACTCGAGTTTGTATTTTTTTTTTTAAGTTTTAAAAATTTTTTATTTTTCTCTTTTTTGTTGTTTTAATTATTTTTTTCTTTCTTTACAAATTTTTATACTTTTTTGTATTTTTTTATTTTTATTTTTTATTTTTAATTTTTTTTTTTTAGACTTTTTAAACAGTAAGTTATTATATGAGGGGCATGTGATATCTGGGTATGCCTGAGTGTGTCTGTGTGTGCCTGAGTGTCCGAGATTGTGTCTGAATGTGGCTGAGTGTGCCTGAGGGTGAGTGTGTGTGTGAGTTTGTCTGAGTGTGTCTGAAGGGGTATGTGATATGTCACTTATATACAGGGCATGTGATATGTCACTTATCAATAATATCACATTGAGGAGTACCCCGGAATGGACAGATGCATCTCCCACAGCACTTTATTAACAGGATTTAGTGACCAGCACAAGGAATTATGTGCGGAGATTGTTTCAGCCAGGCTGAACAGCAGCAAACCCAGCAAATCCTTGTGCTGCCAATGCAGGGGGCAATGCTATTCACAACCATTTTTAAGACTGAACCCTGGGCAAAGAAGAATTAAACTTTGCCATCAGTGGGACAAACCACGATGTCCACTCCACGTGCAGCCCCTCCCCAGCATTCCTGGCACTCCCCAAACTGCCACTCCCAAACTTCTCTGTGCCTTGCTAGTGCAAGTGAGAGCAGGA